GCCTCAAATGGGCGGCGCGACCCCGCCCATCGCGCCAAACGACATACACCCACGGTAGTCAGCCAAGGAGAAGATAACATAGACAAATGCAAATCGTTCGCTCCACCCACACTTGGTGGTACTGTAAAGTCTTCCCGAGACCTCAGTGGATGCGCGAAGTGGGCGGGGTGACCTACTTTCGATGGGCACGCGCAACGGACGTTCGTCAAGCTTCAAGGGTGTTCCCACTGCCCTCTTTACTCGAAAAATTGCATTTTTGATATTAGAGATCAGAGGTAATGTTGAGCTAAGTGGTACACGGTCATACGTATGGTCTGAGGATCGGATCATGAAAAACTGTTTGCCCAGAACAACCAAGCCCATCATCCCATTTAAGGATCCTCATCGTTCGTCACCTACATTGCAACGCACCTGTTTCCCTGGCTGTGATGCCGATGATGTGGATGATTGTGTGCCGCTTGAAGGCGGTTGCGATTCGTCGTCGTCTCCGGTTACTGCAGTGGACGCATAGAAATGTAAAAAAAATTGACACAACTACTTACAGTCGATCACTTCGGGTTTGACAATCGGTGCGACTTCTTCGTCCCCAACATCCCATTGGGCTCCAAACAAACCCTAGGATTCACTTAAATTATTTGCTTTTCTATTTTCTTAAATTCATTTCTATTTCACCGTTTCTCTTGAGAAAATATTTGTACTGCCTGAATTTTTGAATGGAATTTCCACTGCTACTTCCCGATCCACTTGTGTCGGTGTCCGCACTCTTACTGCCATATAGATGGTCTGTAATACACAAATAAGCATCGGTGGCTGTTTTTTGCTATGTTTGAAACTTGCTAAAGCCATATACAAAAAAAAACTTCGTCAGATACACTCTTATTTTGTATTAATTGAAGGTGAAGCTACTATAAGAACTCACGTCATTCTGCGGACCACCAATCCCCTGGCTTTTCACCATGAGGACAGAGAAGATCAACCGTCTGGTGGAACACCAGAAATGAAATGGGGTGCTTTTGAAGGTTGGCTCAGTTTCCAGTGACACGTGTAATCGTAACATGTTCATCAAGGAATTCCAATGGGGAGAAAAGCTCTGGTCACGAGTTTCGCCTTGTAGTAACACGCGCATCATCAGTGATAAGGAATCATTTTGATAATCCCCGATATCAGATCGGTTGTACAATCCCTTGGAGGATTCTTGTCTGTGTTTCGAGAGCCATCTAAAGAAGCATCGAAAAGGATCGTTCAGGCTTACCTAGTTAAAATAAATGATACAGACATTAGCTGAGAGGAGGCACGCCCACGGTAGGCGGGGCATGACTAGAAATCAGCGACATCCAACCGAACACACTCGAAAGGGAGAAAATTCCGAAGAAGTCAAGTAGCCTTCAATTTGATCGTGCGGAGGCCAGTCTCAACAAATTACAATATACGCAGTTTTGTAAATATGGTTTTTACTTCACCGAAATCAATTGTGAAGGTATTGAAAAAATTTTTTAAATGACGGTTCAGGATATCACTGCGAAAGGGTTTGTAGGACCTCAACACGAACAGAATTGGAACAGCCTGTGACGGTCAGGAAGGTGAAGCTCCAGAGGATTTCTTTGAGCCAAAAATCATTTCGTTTGGGAAGCCAACCATTGTCAATTCGAGAAGCATTTCTATCACTAAATCGAAAGGACCATCAAATTCAGCTCCAGGTAATGTTCAGAAGAACAAGTATATCTTATCTAATTAATCTTTATTAACACATCATTCAGAGCCTCACTGAATATACAAAAATACGTAAGGGGAATAAAAGAGAAGTAGAGGTATGTATGTACAATGGAAGGCAAGGAAATCGCTGCACTAAAAATGGAAATAATATAACGCAACCCCAGAGAAAAAAAAANAAAAAAAAACAAAAATAGTACGATATCAACTGTTTGGGTGAAATGTTTATAAGGAACAAAGTGACATAGAAGTTTCCCTCCTCGTTTTCGAATAAAACAAGAATTCGGTCCGATGGGGTAAACCGACAAAGAAATGAAATGCGCCTCTGAACTCCTCAGAGTGGATGGACGCTGAAAAGTCAAGTTTCCTCGTTTATGGTAAATATTTGCAGGCAGCGAATAGAAGGAAGATGACAACGGCGATCAGGATCACATAACCGATGAATTTCGTGTTATCTGGTCGAATATGATCGTGTGGACGAGGAGCAGGCCAAATCACAACTGAAAATCGTCAACAATTTATCATCACTTATCACGAAGAATCTCTGAAAATTTTCAGGGTGATATCCGAGGACTAAGAAAGGTCTGAAGTATGACGTGACTGAATTCATTGGACAAGTAATTTAACTCAAAACAGTAGGAGGCTCAAGGTTTTTGAGAAGAACGGGCTTGGTAAAGAGGACTAGACAAGGGACAAAAAGAGGGAAAAAAGACAGCTTTCTAGCAAAACTGTGTAATGTCGCCTAACTAACCCAAGATCAGCAAACTACAAAGAAAAGGTTAACTTTGTTGCCAGGAGCAGGTGTAATAGAATGTGAATCCAAATTACAGCACAGTAAAGGCGACTATGAGAACAAACCTGGCTGTTGGGCGTACAGACCACAGTGCTCACATCGTTTGCCGGTATGCTCGACTGATTTCTCTGAAAACATTAACAACTGATTAATTGACCAGATTAGTGGTGAAGAAAGATTTGTATTTATAGAATAAAAAAAGTTGTATTTACTCAAAACCGTGGCCGAAGAGAGCAAATGCATGGCCCAACTCGGCAGCCCTTCTCGCTTTTCCAAGGGGTACAATCAAAAGTGATTGATACAAAATTATACTCAGCGAAGCAGAAGGAAGCTGCTTACAGTACTTCATGACCCTTAGACTACTTTGTTCATCAAAATGGAGATAAAGCTATCATCGTAGACGGTATTTACCTTCGTGGGGATGAACCAAGGGAGCCTCCATCACCGTAAAAGGTTGCTGCAGCCGAATATGAGGAGTTGTAGGAGCGAAGAAATATTGCCTAGTCACAATAAAAAGGAATCGACTTTTTGACAGACGCCACCAGCTAGTAATGAGATTAACCCATTACCGACAGCAATAAGGATGGGGCGGCCAGGAGAATAGAAGAGACATGTGACCGGAAACTGTCAATGTTTCCCGACTGCTTCGGCAGAGGATCGACGGGGAAGGTAGGTTTTCATCAGAGTCCTATGGCGTTAGTCAGTGTCATTTTTGGGATAGACCTCCGCAGCCGACACCCAAAGAGAGTCGTAAGCGTATGTGACCTGCACAAAATCTTGCGGTGTCCATCCATTATATATGCTAGCTTTTATCCTTTCAGACGAACCCGGCTTCGATCAACTAGGAATGGATGGCTTGGTTGGTTTGGGCGGGTATCATTCCAAGACGCGATTCCCGAACAAAAATACAGTAATGCACCTATCTTCCCCCACCACTCACCTTAGTTTTTCATTAAAGAACATGATTCCGACTCTTTATTTTCCGAGAACATTAATGCCTCGTTTCTGTTCTACTACACAAATTGAGACGGTCCTCAAATTCTTCGGCTGCTTTGCGGTGTGGGGGAGCTGAGCTTGTCAACGAATTCTCTCCTTCACTGTCAAGCGACAACTTCAGCCATTTACACACTTTGATGAACTGTCCTTATCAAATCTGAGCAATGTAATGCAGCGCAAGGCACCAAGACCAAGTGACGATGACTGGACGCAACTTTTCCCTAACTATTTGATTATTGCTTTACAGGTGTCACCCAAAGACATGGTTATAGTCGGAAAAGCGGTGGAGATATCATGGAAAAAAGGAAGGCCGAGCTGCCACGGACATATTCTCACGAAAGGAAGAGAAAAATCGTGGAGAAAAAGGACAGGAGAGCATGAAATTGAGGTAAGCAGCAAGGAAAGACTCACTGTGCATAATCAAGCTCTTCTTCTTCGCGATACTGTTCGTTGGATCCATATATGGTGGTGGAGTGTTGGGATCGAGGTCGACTGCCGTGTAATCGACTGGCATTTTTGCTAATGACTGATACTGAAATATAGTTACATGTAGGTTCATTTAACAATCACAATTCGCGAAACGGACAATTACTTCTCAACCAATAAAATAATCGCCAGGGAAAACAACGAAAAACAAACTGTAAGCGAAAAAAAAAACAAGAAGAGCGACAAGCTGTCAAATGATGCGAAAAATCAAGAACACTCCAAGGAGGAGGGACTGGAAGCTCAGGAACAGGTTGAAGGAGGATGGAAAGGTTCCGCTAGGTCAGGACACGGTTTTTCGGTGAGGCACTTTGGTATGACGTGCAACAGGTTGAAACCCTCGATGCCACGCGCATGTGCGCGGTTGAGCGGAAAATTCACGCCCTAAGCTGACGGTATGAATGTAAGTGGGTTGGCTTGTGAGTTGCGAAAAAGAGGTTGTAAAACTACTATTCAACAACCTCTCGGGGTCCCCGAGGCGGTGGCATGGGGCTCAGCGAAGCTGCTCTGGGTTTCAGTGAAACGTCTGAAGATACACGAACAGGAAGAATTAAACGACAATGCGAAGTGAACGAGCTGATTTGAATAGGACTACTCTCATGACTGAATAGTTTTGGTATCGCTACAGTACCTGCCCAATAGCAAAAAACCATTTTCGATTGTGCACTATTTTTAAAGCAGCTCAGAAACACTGTAAATGTAAGAGAGCTGTTGGAAGTACCTTTTCACTTGGAACCGGTTCTGCCACGAACATTACAAAGACAAAGAACTTGTGAATGATCGCCTTCAGATTAATCTAACCGACACGGATGCAAAGCCAAAAATCGAAACACGAAAGTGGCACAGATCCAAAACTGATGATTTGCTAAATTTCGATTATTCAGTGAGGCAACTGACAATGCAAATGTGTCAGATACTGATTTCAGGTTGTCATTAAGTTCATCTAGTGGATCGGACAATTGTTTCTCGTTGTCTCAAAAGAAAGCTGAAATATCGTAAAATGAACTCGAAAGGGGTCCGAATGTAATTGAATACGCCAGTGCTTGGAAAAAAGTAAGTGAAGTGACGAGCTAGGCTCTGTATTCATCTGTACGGCTTCATTCATCAGCGTGGGGAAATAGAGACTCCGTGGTCTCACCTACTAGTTTGCAAGTCACACCCCTTTATCGATGCTGATGTGAGAATGAAAAACGGGGCATAAGTGGAAAGTTCAGTTGATATGTCAATGATGATAACGTTCACTACTTACTAGAAGTGCACGAGCAGACAGTCCCACTTGTCCTGCTGACTCCAAAGTTGGACAGAAAAGGATTCAACGATTTCTCATCAATCGGAATGAGAAGTGTAACGCTTTAAATGATTGTATGGTGAGAGGTGTGTTACAAAGTGGCTTGAATGAGCCCCACAGGGCCTCAAGAACCTCTCGCAACCACCACTGCCGCTACAACCTAACTAAGGTACGTGTTCTTTGAGCTTCCAGAGCTGTTATCATTAAAGCTTATATTTCTAGATTTCCGGTGATATCCTTGTTTTCATCGCCAATGAGGAGCCATTTTGCACCACCACTCCCTTCTTCAAACTCGAAAAGGTATATGAAATTACAGAAACTGTTGTTGTGGAGGAATCTCAACTTTATCTGTTGCTCTTCGGTCTGAGCTTCAATTGCTTAAGTGTAGGTAAAAACTAGAAACGTAATACCAAAGAGTACGTAAAGGAGTAACAAAAAGTATATAAACTCTCAGATTTTTGAGAACGATGAGCATGTTGAACTGCGGCAGGTAAACTCAGGCATAGTTAACATCTGACCGAAAAAGAAATCTGCAGGGCACGCAAGCATTGAATAATTGTTTGAAAGCAAATGATCAGGTATCAAGAAAGGGGGAAAACATGGAGATAACAAAATTACTGTTGACCTTTTGGCGACCGTTTACGTCAGCTATGTTTGGCACTATCCGAGAAGAACGAAAGGGCGCAGGGTGACAGCATACGCATGTTGGCTTGGTAAATTACAGCAGGTCCCTTTTAGGGCCTGACTGGTTCGTTTTCGGATCGTTCGCAGAGAAGTTGAGTCTCAGCAATTGCTCACTGCCTTCAGAGTTGCCTGGGCTTCAACTTCATCGAAGGGTTCCCCTTGTCGAGTCGAAAACACCAGATGAAAACAATGCTGTCAAGTATGATGTTACTAGCAATTGGGAGAAAGTAAGAGGAGGATTTTGCCTTAATATGGCATAATCTTCAAAGCCTCTTCGCTTTTTAGATCGCATCGAAAGGCTCTTGGGAGAGTTGCAAGGCTACACCTGCTATCCAAGCGGGCCTGAACGTTACTTCGGTTCTTGTCCAGTCATCATACAGTTGTTTCAGGTCACCAGTTCTGTTTCAGTCAACGCCCCGAAAATTTCCGGAGAAAAGCGCTCCTTGATGCTTTTTGCAGTTTTTCGTCATAAAGTGTCCCATAAATCAAAAATTGGAACATCAACCAGATAACAACAGGTAATTTATCTCTTCGGTGATTCAGTCATCCAGCTTCATAAAAAGTCTTCTACAAGTGAACGCCTTTCCTCGCCTAGTTCAGAATGACACGGAGTTTTATAAGAAAAAGGTGGATAATGTTGTGGAATGACAGGTTAGCAGTCGTCAGGGAGATTGTGAATGGTTAGATGGGTCCCAGGGAACGAGTTATACACTAGCCGCACAGCTACATACATACATAATCACAAGGGATAGGCTGTTGACGACAAAAGGATAAAGTCCTTTGGCTTAATCAATCCCGTTTTGGGATGCGCCCCAACATACGATTCTCATTCGTGTCAAATGTAGCTTTTTGAATGGTATGCGGCTCATAAAGCAGCTTACGGAGACTAGCCCATGTACAAGTCATGGCTCTTGTCCTACCAAGCGGGTCTCGGTCTCGTACCAATTATCGATCCCGATAGGACGATAGTCTGCTCGGTTGGACGAGTACCAAGCCGGGATCCGATTCTTGACCGTACGTATGACAGCCGGCTGAGGCCCTTAGAAATATCTTTTTCTGATTGAAAAAGATGGAATGTCGTAGTTAGTTGCTGGTCATCGAATTCAAAAAGAAGCATGATTGTGACAGACTGTAATCAGTGTTGACAGTCTGGTAAACAACAGTTCAAGCGTTTTCAGAAGGCTGGGCAACCTTCGGCAAAACTTGTTTCTCTAACAGTCAACATCAGGTGGTGCTCCTTCTCATGTCTCATGTTCTTCGTTTTAGAAGGTCAGATGGTCTGCATCCAGAAAAGCACATTTAATGGGGAAAGCATTGAAAGAATCGAAATGAATATGTAATACTGGTGGCACGATAAAAGGCACAACAAATTCAATTCTTCCTAGATCAGTCCTTTTTGGGATATAAGTCATACAGTTCTAAAGCCAGCATCTAAAGCGAGAAAGTCAAATATCAAGGTTTTAGTGATTCCAAGTCGTCTTTAATGAGTTACGTCTCGGTGTTTACTTCTATACATAGGGGATTGCTGAAAAGAAACAACTAAATAGAAAAAAGAACGAACATCTGGCGAAGGGGAACCGATCAGAGCCGCAGTTCAGCTTTCATTACTCACTCGCCGTAGACAGAAGCTGGACCAAGGAATGCCCTTTTTCTACATATACTGATCGAATGGCTAGAGGGAAGTAGAAGATGAGTTACTGTATAGTTAATTCCTTATTTTTGGCCTTCATCATGAGATGAAGCAAGATGATACCATCAGGCGAAAAGAAGGGATCGTGTGATTAGCGGAGCTTCTTCGAAACGTTTGGAAAGGTCTGTTAAAAGGAACTTCAAAATGGCTAGAAAATGGGATTAGATCAAAAAATCTGCTTCTGAGACACTTAATGAGACCTCTTCGCATACTGAAGAGCTCATCATTTTTCTCGACCCCTTCAAGAACTTCAAGTTCTTCAGGATAAGGGGAGCCGGGACTTGCGGGGTCGGTTGAAATGAGTAAGTGAGGAAGCGATAGACAATGGAAGTGACATGCAGCAGGGCCGAAGACCTGACTTTAGCAGTTTATTTGAGTAAGTAGGTGGAAATACTCGTAAAAATCGTACTATGAAGAAGAATATCGAGAAGAAAACAGGCAGCTGACGTAAAAGCGTATCATTGAATAGTAGAGAGGGTGTTTTCGCCGTATAGCGCTGTTTAACCGTCGCTCATAGAAAGGATGAAGGCAGTGCGAGACGTTTACACTTTTTGTTTACCTCACTCGGTTCGTATCTAGGGAGAAACATCAATAATAGAAAAGAAAGCTCATAGTAGTCCACTACATTAGCTTTATTGCGGTTATGGAGTAAAAAATTCCATGTACTCCCAGGGTTCTTGGATAAAACTGATATTTGACCAACAGCATAGGAAAATTTCATAGGAACATTCAAAACATGTTGGACTGATTATTTCAATTCCTTCCTAAACCTTGAAGACACGCCAAGGTTTGCGACAGAACACAGGAAAAGAAACCAAGTGGTAATGAAAAGAAAGTGGAAAGAAAAAGCAGGGAAAGCCCTGAAAAAAAGCGCAGAGATCATTTGGAATAAGTCAGACTCGTAAGATCGTCTACATAAGTTAACACGAGCTCAAAGGCAGATTTCGAACGTTTCCATGGAGGATCAGTCGCCTGTTATTCACACCTTTGGGTGACTTTTCATTTGTACTGGAAAGTTAATTGCGTAGTCTCACCAGTTCTTTGTCAATCCAACTTTGCACTGTGTCGTTTTCAGTAGAAACTTTCTAGCTTAGTGGCTGCTACCCACAATCTTCAGACTTTTCGGTTCAGGTGGGTAAATAAATAAATAAGTAAACATGAGTATGGTTGTGCGGTCTCAACAATCAGGGTCCCCAAAGGGTCCCCAAACGTTTCCATGAATATTAGAGAATCTCGCAACATCATCCGATTGGCGATGACCTCCTTTAGGAACGGTTCCTGGTGTTTGCTTCATGGGGAAAGTTCGAAAGGGGGCGTTGGCACATATGGCACTTGAGATATGTGGATAATTGTTTCAACGCACTTCGAAATCGGCATGTTCATTTGACTCGTGGCTAAGGAATCACGTGAAGTAACACATGTTGGTTGGACACCTTATCTCAACCCACGAGTCAAAGCACGTCCTCTGTGGGGAATGATAGGCAAGAGCTATTTTGGGTTGCGTATTGTTTCATGCTGCATCATTCACAGGCTTTTATCGAACGTGATGTTGGCAACATTTTAAATACAGTATACAGGGAATATATAATATGTGTTAAGGCGACACTGAACGTTCATAAGTGCGACGTTTAGCATGTGAGAAGGCTGATAGGATATTCGATACCACAATGATATGGAAAACACGGCACGAAAGCTCACCCCTGAAGCAAATAGCTGCTTCGAATATCTTTCATCCTCTGAAAAGCTTGGCAGTGGTAGTCCGAAGTGCGTTTTGGCTATACCCACTTGCACCAACGCCACTGTGCATTTTATCGGTTCTACTGAGC